ATCGAAGAATCGATTAAGAACTGAATTTTTCCTAATTTTTTAATTTATTTATTTTAAATAAGCCAAATTATTTTATTTTTTCTAAATTAATTTGTTAACTAGTTAATTTAATTCAAACCAAACAATATAATTTCTCTATTTCTAATTTTCAATTCAAAGCCAACTCAATCAAATTGACCTAAATTTTATCCAAATATGTTTCTCTAACATAGTGCCCTTTTTACCGTTCTGAAAAAATCGAATTAAAGCCCGGCAACACTTTTCTTAATTATTTTGAGTTTGATATCTTTCTTTTCCTGTAATTTTAACAATCAAATCTATGAAGAACTCAGCAAGAGAAAGATGCAAAAGACACGTAGTAATAACTAAGATTAAACATATCATTAGTTGAATTAATGTAATTTTGTAAATATTAAAAAAAATTAATTATAATATGTAACCTGGGAATCGATTGAAACCGAACCGAACTGAACTGAATTCGAACGGTTCTATAATTAAATTTGGACCCAACGATTACCTGAAAATTTTAGGTCCGATTCGATTCTCATTAGAATCGAATCAAATCGAATCATGTCTGACCCTAATTGCCTTGAACCACATGACCCTACCTCAATAATTTTGGAGAGAATAAAAGGGGTGATGGGTGATGCTTTATTAAAAAAAAAGAAAAGAAAAAAAAGGTTCTATTTTACTCTAAAGACGATCAGTATTGAAGAGAAAATTGAATCCACACATGGAGATGGTATGTCGGCATAAAAATATGGTGGTTCTCATTTCAATTTGTTGAAGATTTCAGGTACTTTCGTTGTAGTGACGGAAGACCAAAAACTTGACATTTGGTTCCATTCCCATATGAGTAAAGAGAACTAAAGAAAAAGAAAAGTTTGTTTAGTTCGATGATGATAGTATCCATTGTTTTTTCACAATTCGTGAATTTGTGCATGAGGTAGCATTGCAACGTAGCTAGACAAATGGATAATGCATTACGCTTGATGTATGGGTTTTATGCAATGCGAAACGAAATAGTAAAATGGTACGAAAAGGCCTTCATTAACATATATTTGGATCTGCTCAGATTTTCAGAGATCTAACAGCAATGCAGGGCAAAAAGAGAAGGAGTAATGCTATTTATAGTGAAAACTATCGATAGTCGTCCTATATAACATATACTTGACAATTTGGTATTTGATACATAGATTTGGTAGTTATTTTTTAAATTTATACATCAAATAAAAAATTGTCAAGTGTATGTCACATAAAACGACTGTCGATAGTATTCACTCCGAATAACATTATTCAAAGAGAGGGGCGTTCCCATTCAAGAAGCCCTCCATCTGAGGCAAATTATTCACGGGGTTCATTAATTTTTAGTTAACAAAAAGTACAGTACTTGACGTAATCTTGTACATAGATTCGTTAAGTTAATTATTGTGTAGTTATTATTCAATATTTTCACATTTGACAACTTTTGATGATATTTAGCGCTGTTTGGCCACTTTCTTTCAAATTTTAATGTTTAGAATAGTATCTTTTTGGAGAAGATGTGGATCAAAAAGAATAAAAGGTTTTAGACTTACATATAATATTATTTTATAAAAGATTGTATAGTTCAAAATAAGAGTGAAAAGAAAAAATTTGAAAGAAAAAGGGGTAGACGGGAGCTTAATTTTTTCATTTTTTTTTTTTACTATACCCTCCTTGTTTTCATTTGTAACCCTATGTAACTAAACATTTTTTCATATCCACCTACATTTCATTCCCAAATAGTTTAGTCTCTTGCTTCTTTGTCAAAAAAACTATTTTCAACTTTAATTTTCTCCGAGACTCTGCAAATTAGGCCAAGGTAGGAGGCCTAGCTCAGACCATAAAATTTTGAAATGTTACTAAGCTAACTCACATTGACGTAGATAGATATACACTACTGTTGCAATTTGCATAACTAAAACTTAATTTATTTATAATTACTACTTCCAAATTAACTACATCTTGGACAATTAAATTCAAAATATGACATATACAACGAATATGAAACAAATACTCACAAAAATCAGGTTGCAGTACCCTATGCAATTTATCGACAACTACTTTATTAACACTAGCATTATCGAAAGTAAATGAACGAATTTTACCTTCGCAATGATATTCTCTAACAATACTAATAATAGCATTAAATATATTATTAGCGTTGTGAGGAAACCCAATAATTCTAAAAGCAATAATTTTTTTATGCATTCACCAAAGTGGGTCTATATAATATGCAGTTGCAGTTATATATGCTTTTTTATTAATCCCTTCTCATTTATCCGAAGTTAAAGATATGACACGCCCATATTTTTACAAATTCATAATTAATTGTTGTTTTGTTGAAGTAAAATATTGTATTGTATCGGAATAAAGAGTGTTTCGAACTTACTCCAACGTACATTGGCTGCAGATATTCTTTCACATATGAGACGTAGTGTTGGTTGTCAATTAATGACAAATGCAACTCAGCACCAGCAACAAGTTTCGCCATTTCGGTTCAAGCTCTCTCCTCCGAATACACTCATGTGGATAGGGGTGCAGCAGAACCACCGGCGTATAGACTGCCAAATTGCAATTATGTTTGACAGCCTGGAATAAGTCCGTGTTTGACCACACATACTTTGTAATGACGGTTGAGATGGGTGGTACCAATTCCTCTTTGCCATGCCAATCTTTGTTGGCAGTATTTACATACTGCTTTGAATTCTTGGACTCCATTGACGATTTTTCCCGTTGAAATCAACTTAAAATGATCCCAACATTTTGCTTTTTTTCCCCTCCCATTATGAATGTTTAATTCAACATTTTCTTCCTGATCGTGTTCCGCTTCGAGAACGTCAATATCATCCAAATTAATTGGATAATTTGGATTGCCGTTTACATGATGATGAAAATCCAAATCTGGAATATCTTCAGGTAGGGGTACGTCATTTAGACCTTCAAATTGATTCTGAAATTGACTTTGCGGTATCATATGCGATTTGTTTTCTCCCACACCGAACAAGTTTTCGATAAATGTGCGTGGATCTATTTGTTTAATTGTAATAAGTAATAATTAGTAAAAAAAATCATTGTATAAATGTAGTGATAAATGAAAATTGGATAAAATTTCAATAAATATAGTGAGAACTGAGAAATAAAGATTGGATATTGTACAAATTGTATATAAAAATTGCACAACTATCAACACAACACAAGTGAGTTGAGAGAAAGATAATTGAGAGTTAAGAGTGAATTGTAAAAAGTTTTGTGACTAAATACCACTATTATAGAAGAAAAAAATAATTTAAAGAACCAAAACCGTCACTGAAAAAATTCAATGACCATTAACGGTCACAAATTGAAATTATAAAAAAATTAAAAATAAAATAAAATTAATTTAGGGACCGAAACGACCACTGATAAAACGAGCCCATGAGCTTGGGCTCGTGGCTCATTTTTCAACGAGCCGCAAGTGGCTCGTTTATTTTGCGAGCAGAGCCTCGGCTCCCCACCGAACCGGCTTGCTCGGCTCGCGCTCGGGCTCATGTTTTTACGAGCCGAGCCGCCCACGAACTTGGTTTTCGGGAGCCGACGAGTCGTTCGGCCCATTTGCCACCCCTAGATATGCAGGATAGCGTTTGGGACTCTTGAGGGTTTATATTTGGAGTAATACCCTTAATGGTCTGTACAAAAATAATGGCTATTGGACTGACTTCAATTAATACAAGATTAGATTCATATAAAAATAAAATTATAAATTAAGTTTGGTTCTCGGTTTTAGAACTAGAACCAAACTTGAACTAGAACCAAATGGTTCTCGACACTAAGAATCAAAACCATTCCTTTTTTTTTTTTTTTTTTGTGGAATCGAATCCAATCGCTCGATTTGATTTAGTTTGGACATTTTGCCCACCCCTATTCTAAATGCACTAATTGAATCTCAAAAGTATTTTATTTCCAAGATTCTAGTTCAATGTTTAATGAAAGTTCATGATTCTAGTAGTTTTGTTTTGTTCATACTTGCTTTAAACTTGAATTCAACAAATTCATATCATATCACATTGATAATGCATACCTATAATTATACATCTCATAACTCCAAAATCTCCCATTTAACAAGGTCTTTAAAAATTGCTTATAACACTAGAAAAATGTTTTTAAATCAGTTTGAATAATTTACTGGAAGTGTTTTACTCTCTATATGTATTTAATATTTTTCCTATATTTTATTTTCGTCAACATTTTTCAAAATTATTGTATTATTTTTATTAATTTTCTATATATATACTATTTATTGGGTTAGTATATGGAACATTGAAAATTGAAATATTTTGAATGTATTTAATTATAGAAAATGAATTTAGCTCTTTTAATTTTAAAATATTAATTTGAAAAGTTACGTTGTGTATAATTTTAAGAATTAACTCTTTAAAATAAAGAATATTTTATTTTTAAATAATCTTTTGTAAATGCTCCAATAATTAATAAAAATAATACTACTGTAATTACGCCACCTTTCAGATCTTTATTTCATACACTGACCATCTTAAAATTTATCATACGCTCCTCCAATTACTCTAATTATTATACTAATAATATTTTCTTTTTGCAGCCTTGTCTTGTGTCCCTCACACATTACTCCTTCGATACTAAGAGCCTTTGAATACCAAATTTATTTTTTTATTTTTTTGCTAAAATACATTTTAGAATAGTAATTTAATAATTTTTTTTTTTTGAATTTGGGTGTAATATTATTATTCTATTGAAAAATTATGATTAAAAATAAGAGAAAAATGTATTTTAAAATGAGGATGTAGCTAAATTTTTTCCTTTTTATTTAGTAAATTAATTACTATTTAATTTTTTTGATTTCTGATTTTTATTTTTTTTCCTAGAAATTTCATGAATATAAATGCCATATAGCCCCCACTTCATCAACGGTCTTTTCTCGTGCCGCATCGTTTTCTCTGTCACCTCTATTTGGTCTCTCCTTTTCTCCCTCTTTCTTCTTGTATTTATTTTTTTGTTCTCTCTCTTTCTCTCTCTCTTTTTTTTCTTTTTTTTTCCGAAATCCTCTATGTAAGAGGAGCCACATACAATTTTGTACAGCTCTTTCTGGTAATTGAAATCTCTCTTTCTTCTTTTAGTGGAAAGTAGTGGACTAGTTCTCGATTTCTGATTTTTTTTTTTTTTTTCAAGTTTTGAGAAAACCCAGATGAAATTTTGCTTCAATATATTTTTATGTAGATTTGGTGTTGAAAAATCTTGATTCTAAAAGTAATATTTTTTGGGAAAAAATGAATTCTTGGCGAACAGGAATTCATAAGTTTGAGTTTTTTTTTTCTTTGAGCTAATTTATACCCTTCAAAGCACCGAAGTTTCATATGAAAATTAAAAATTTATGTAAAGATCGTTTCAAATATTAGATCAATTCATAGAGGCGGCTGAAAATTGCCAATTATTTTCTAGAAAAGATTCACTTACTCTACATACAAATTAGTATAGTCACGAGATTTTGTTTGATCAGTTTCACCTTAAGCACAAGCAGAATGATTCTGAAATGAAAAAAAAAAAAAAAAAAAAAAAAAAAAGAACGGAAAAGTTACAATTTTTACAACGGATCTGTATAGGTTTCTTCTCAAATAATTTAATATTATATTGATTATTAAACCTTTCATTTTTGTCTGTTAAAACAAGTCAAAAATCTCTGCCGGCTAAGTTCCTGGTTTTTATCTTCTGCCTCGTTTGCCGGATTTTAGCTTAAAACAAAAGTAAAAAGAACAAATATTTTCTCAGTATTGTTTGTTTAATTTATACGATATCTCTGTTGTTCTCATATCCAATTTCTTTTCTGAATAAAAATTCCATATTTTGATAAATATGCAGGTGTGTTATTTATATATACAAAAGATCTTGAAGTAAGAAAAAAAATTCAAAAAAATAAAAATAAAAAAGAAAAATAAAAAAATGAATCACTGTACAATTCAGAAGAAGACTTTTGCTGCCTGTGACGAGATGAAGGGCAAGAAAGAGGCGGTGGTTTGCCCCAAGCCCCGCCGTGTCAGCGTAATCCATTCAGCTGCTGCTTTTAATGATCCTCCTTTTACCAGACCCCTGAGATGGCATTCCATGTCAGTTTTGTTACTTTTACATCTCTCTCTACATAATCTTGAATTTTTTATTTGTCTGTGTTGTTTAGATTTGTTTATTAACTTGTGATTTCTCTCTGTTTAACAGTCATCAACTGGAGGCTTGTGATGCAAAGGCTGGAAATGAACTGCTGGACATCATCCTTGCAAAGGTGGTTTTCAATTTTTCTAATTCGATACGAACTTTTGTCAATTTGATATGTGGATCAGATGTATAATCCAAATCTGTTTGAGTTTGTATAAATCCTTTTACTTTGTTTTATAATTTGTAAACAAATTGTTTAGAATACTGAATTCAAGGAGATAATTTTATTTGTGAAATGGTTTGTATCTTGACACCTTGATTTTTGAGATCTTATGAGAGGTTTGTTCTTATTTGCAGGGTGGTTTTACCGCAGATCAATCAGTTGCCCAGGTAGCCTCGTCGCCCCCCTTTTTTTCTGGGTCACCGCCGAGTAGAGTATCTAACCCACTAATTCAAGATGTTCGATTTGGGGATGAGAAGGTCACTCCAGTTTCCCCAAGAGCAATCCCAACCCCATCTGGGCTGGCACCATCCCCGTCCTCCACCCATAAAGGGGGTTATGTTCGGGCTAATTTTGGTAACAGTCCAGCTGTGAGGATAGAGGGTTTTGACTGCCTTGACAGGGATAGTCGCAATTGCAGCATCGCTACCCTGGCTTAGAGCAATCCCTGGGAAACTAGTACTTACAAAGAACTACTGAAGTTGAGAAAATCTGAAGCATTCAATTGATTTAGCAGATAAGGAGTTATGAACGCTTTTGATCAAGTGAGCTGGTAATAGGGATCGTTGATTATTTTGTCTAGTGTAAATATATTTCGAAGTGTCTGTAATTGAAGCAATGTGTCTATTTAAGCATACGAGCTATGGAAGTTATTGACCAAAATAATTTAGGGAGTGTGAAGCTAAGCCCTCTTTGTAATGGTGTAAGTAAGAGATGAAAAGAGGGGGGAAACTTCTGGTATTTTACGTTGTTTTGAGGTCAGTTTTGAAATTTCATCAGACGGTTTTCTGAGGTGAACATGTAAAAAGTTTTGCATAGTTGGGTAAATCACATTGTAATTATGAAATATTAGTACAATTTCTATTTTACAGTACTCTTGTTTTGTTAAACCTTGTTCGCCTTTTGAATTCCACCCGATAAGGGAGTGAGCTTACCATTATTGGCTTAATAGTTCTTGTGTGTTTGTTGGTATTGAAATGTATTAGTGTTCGTTTTCTTGGACTGGCATGTGAAGTCATTTTCTTGATGGCTACGGAAATGATGAGAGTGTGCTGCTGTAATGTGCGGTTTTTTGTTTTGATATGTGAATGTTGTATTACATCACCTGGTCGGTTTTCTGGTTTTGATGAGTTACTAATTATGGGGTCACGATTCATCGTAATTGTCCTTGTGGTGATGTAATGGCTAGCCCTTAACCGTGAACCTAGCTAGGTTTGATTTTTCACTAAAATTAAGTAATGCTGCATGTCGCCAATTAGAACGGTTACAAACTAATGACCATGTGGTTTAATTATGTGATACTACATGAAAGGTTTAATTAAACGTGTTAGGAAACATCACATTTATTTGAACTTGTAACTTATTGTCATTTAGTGCTGCATAAATTGATGTTTTAGCATCAGTTGGGTTACCTAGTATTATTCAATGAAAATACAGAAAATTGAAACGGTAGCTCCATTTTGTATATTAGTTCAAACTTCAACATTCCTTTCTGATCTGCTGCTCTGTATTTCCTAGCCTTCGGCTTTTAGGTTGGTGGCGTTAATGGAGAATCAAATGCAATAAACAGGGAAGCTACTGAAGGGTAACATTGATGAACTAAGCTACATGTACAACCTCCTCACATATGGGGGACCGCGCTCAATAAAAAAATTGCGGCCCCCCATAAGGTTGGGGGGGGGGGGGGACTTTCATCCGAGCTGTGAGCTCAGATGCACAAGCATCAATTCCCATCATTCATTAATGAACTACAAAGTTGAGCAGTCCGTGGTTCGACCCAAAAAAAGCTCGAGTGTGCCTGACTCGTTGCTTGGCAGAACCGATTGAACTCAAGTCATTGTAGCTGCCTATAACTGCAACATGTAGCTAGTCAGCCACGTGTGTAGCATAGGCAGCTAAGTAACTGCTTGTATTTTTAAAAAAATCGTGAGCTTACTCAGCTCCGCTCAATAAGGTCCAAGTTAAAAGTTTGGGTCAAGCCTATATTTTTTGATCGAGCAGAAATTCGACTTGGCTCGGGCCAAAAAAATGTATGAACCGTTCTTATTTCGGCTCAGCTCGTTAATATCTCTAGTTGATTATAATGAGGCGTTGAAAATGGTTTGTGTATTTTTTTATTTCTTTATTTTGTATTGTCAAATGTGGGACATGAAAAGTTCTAGTCCTTTTGTTCTTGGAGAAATAGCTTATTATACAATTTCACAAGAGCACTGGATCCTCATAAACTAAAAAGGAAACTACAATTTTGGAAAAAAAGTTGAAGAGTACTTAAATTTGTAAGAACATTTTCAAGTGACTCTTTAAATATAAAATGTTTGAGGCCTCATGAACTGAGGCGTAACATAGTTAAGATTTCTCACCCCCCCCCCCTTTTCAATATTAGAGAGTACTATCTGATACTGCTAAAATTCAATAAAAGTATCTTCAAAATATTTATTGTTTTTAAAGAGTATCTTTTACATAATAGAGAGTATTTTTAGATTTAAAGATTAAAATTTTAACGCGATGATTGAAAAATTAATAAAAATTGTGAATCTCATAAAATATATATTTAACAATTAATTGTTAACTTTGATTTAATTTTTTTTTCTCAAATTTTTAACTCACTTAAAACTTGGGCTTAATGATTTTGTCCAATGGCGAATCCAAGAATTGAAGTCGTCTAGGGGGAGTACGTTCGCAAGAATAAAACTCAAAGGAATTGACGGGAGCCCGCACAAGCTGTGGAGCATGTGGTTTAATTCGTGGTAGCTGACGGTCAACTACTATAATTGCAAGATCGTTTATTAATATTTAATTAAATAATATTAAAAAATTCAATTTATAAGTAAATGTACAAAAACATAAAAATTATATAGATATTAAATACAATTTGATGGGGTTAGAGGATCAATACACGTAGTCTCTTACCAGAACATGTCACGATTAGTTTAATATTAAAATTAATTAAACGGGCATTATATATTAACAAAATCAATTAAAATTAGTTCCGATTAAATAATCATAATTGCACAAATTACTTATAATTTGCAAAATTCCCCAATAATCGTTTAGGTAGTCATGGTTTTTAATCACAGTCATAACTAATAAATGATAAATCAAAAAATGAATTAAAAGAACCAAAAAAAAGACAGAAAAGAGAGTAAAGGGTGGTAGAGGCAAACCTCTCACAAGTCACTAAGACTGGAGATGCTCGGCGTTGGCAGTGACTCGACTGTAACCGACGGCAAGTAAAGGCAAGGGGCTGAATGGTGATTGGTGAATGAACAGGCAACCTGAGGGAAAGCTCAATAGGGTCTGCCTTTCATGAATTTGAAATTGATTTCGGTTAGGAATTTAGGATAATGAATTTATATTGGGAAAATTAGCTCAAACCCTACCTGTAAATTATACATTTCAAAAATAAGATAGTTTAATTTTAATTTCACAAATCAGGTAATAATGAAGATAAATTAAATTAATTAATACAGCGTTAATTAGAAAAATATCTAATCAAATTTTTTTCACTCATCCCCACCGTTATTAGTACGTAACTCTTCAAAATTCACACACCACTAGACCGTATAGGCCGCCTGCTGGGCTGCCGCCACCACCATCCACCACTTACCATTGCCAAAATCACCTCCCAAATATAACTCTACCTTCGATTTGTCTCCCAAATACAATTCAACCGGCAAAGGCCATAAATCCATGCCCAATGAAAACAACGGCTCTGATCTTGTCAAGCTTCTCTGCATTGATGATAGTTTGGCAATGGCGTCCCACACGTGCACTTGAATCTCATGAGACCCAGGCATTTCTAACAATCGGCTCAACTGTTAACCACCATTGAAACCATTCTCCATCTTCGTCGTCTTCATCCTTCGGCCAAAATCCAATTCGGCCACAATCAAAGTTTACTTTGAAACAAGTCCTGCAACTCAAACCTTCATAAACCCATAAAAAGAAAAAAATGTTGAGGGGGACATGTTTCTAATTCCAATTAGGAAGAAGAAGGTAAAATCTGTTGTACTAAGTAATTTTTTATTTAATGCATTATAATAATGTCAAATGCAGTATATGCGTGCGTTTGGGTATTATGTGAATAGGTGACTGTGACCTAAATTTTGTTGATGTGGCCTTGTTTTTCGTGATTGTGACCTATGATGCTCTTTTAGCCGTGTTTAAATTTGTGATTAATTACAGCAATCTAATGTATTCATATGGAGTGCTGCAAAGAGACTCAAAATCAGAGCTTTTATTTTTATCCTTCGTTTTGGAGTTTGAGTTTCAGAATTTTTTTTATATTGATAGGGTTTGTGAATGAGGAGAATGCGACTAATGGCAGCTAATCTTCGACAATCAGGGGCTATTTGTGGACCGTGTATTGTGCACAAGCGTGGTGCTTATATTCTTTCAATCCATGATTTAACGAGTTCAACCTTTCTTTTCTTGCTATATTTTTAATTGTCTTGAAGATTAATTATGGGAACTCCATGACCAAGAAAAAGAATGCAAGAAATTGCAAATTCTGGGTTTGATTTATTTTTACTTATACATGTTCATTTTTGCTTCTGAAGAAAATTTAAATTATGGGCAATTTTACATTTTATCTAACTTTGTTGTGGATTACAGTTTCATTCACCAGCACACTGAATTTCAAAGCATCGAAAACTTCTTGTTAGGTAGTAATCGGCAACAGTAATCTTTTGGAAGCAGATAATAAGTTATAAATGAAATTTATGTAAATAGCTAATTTCAACTTCTGGCTCAAAGTTACTAATGTGTTGATACTTGCTTAGGATTCATGGGATTTTGAAGTCTAGTGGGTTTATGGTGGTGTTGCATTACAACTATTGGTGGATTTGAGGTGAAAATAAAGTCCACTGGTGGTTGATTGAAGTGGAGCATTGCAGGTAGTGGTCATGGTGTTGGTGAATGAAAACATTGTTTTTTTATGGTGTCGGTCGTGGGTGTGGATGTGATGAAATGATTGTGACCAATTATTGGATAATTGTGACCTAAAAAATATGTGATTTGTGACTAAATTTATAATTATGACCTATAATTTGTGTCTTTGTAACAAATAAATAAACTATGATAAATTAATTTGATAATTCGTTGTCAATAAATAAGTTATAACAAATTAATTTGGTAAGTTGTAATCAATAAATTATTTGTGACGTATAAAAACATGTAATTTGAGACTAAATTTATAGTTATGACATACAAATTGTCTCTTTGTTACTGTGCCCTTTTGTACTTTGTGACTAGTATGTAATTTGATTATTGGTCATTACGTCCATGTAGATGAATATTTTAACCTTTTTAATACCACGAATGATGGATGTTACATTAATGTGGATGACATCTATTTATTATGATTGCTATTTAATTTAGGTTAATTTTTTGTCAGATAGAATTTGTTATAGTATATTTGTGATAACAAATTATAGTTAGAAAACAAGTCAAATTCATTACATTACTGGTCACAATAGATCACAATTAACACACTTGGTCATAGAGGGTCACAGTTAACGTATTAATGGTTGTAACCTTTAAATATAAATAGGTTTTGTCACAAAACATTCACTGTTGATGTTGTTATACGTCATTGTTAACACAAACTTGATTACATACAGTCACAGTTAAGCCGGATCTGATCATAGTCAGTCACAATAAAAACAGATTTGATTACAATTAGTCGTAGATAACACAAGCATGGTCATAGCAATAACAACTTACATAAATCTATTCAAAGATTATCACATTTATTGCAAAAAATGGTCATACATGATTTTATTTATTTTGATTAATTATGTTCACAAAAGCACTTTTAGTAAATTTAATCAATACTCATTGAAGTTAACATTATTACTACTTACTCGCTCATTT